AAAAAAAAAAAAAAAAACAATAGCGGAAAGAGGAAAAAAAAACACGGGAAAAAGAAACATCATATGTTGTTTGTCTGTGAATGTAACATCATGAACAGCTGCAAATTCTCAATTATCCATTTTAATTTTTATTCCCTTGAATTGGAAACTCAATTCTGATCACCACAAATTTGCTGAAACATCTCAAAAAATAAAAAAAAAATATAATTTTTTTTATTATTTTTTTGTTTTTTTCTCTCATCCAACAAGAATGATTAAAACAATAACAATAAAAAAAAAATCATGAAAAAATTATATGAACCCATGTACGAATATTCATGTATGTAACAGAAAAATTGGAGCTTGGGAGATGAGGAGACCTGAAGAAAAAACCAGGCGAAGAAAAAGCCATGAGAGTCAGAGAGAGAGAGAAATAGACACAACTTTAAAAGATGGAAAATAAAATGGAAAAAGGGGACAAGAGAAAAATAGTGGATATAATTGTAATAAAAATAATTAATCATTGGAGTAGTTTCAAACTTTCAATCAAAGGAAAATTAATATTAAAAAATAAAATTCAATGCAATCATCTAATGTGTAACCTCTTTATTTTATTCTATTTTTTCTCAATAATTGTGGAGGATTTCTATTTATCTAAATGTCACCTTATTTTATATAAGAGGGGGTAAGTTAAACTGCTAATAACTAAGTCAAATAGTCAATTGAACAACCAAAATCTAGGGAGATGTTACGGTCGGTTAAGAGATCATTCCGTTGGGTTCGTAACTGTTAGATTATCATTTCACCGTCAGAGATAGTTGGTTTAACGGTTACAAATCCCGACATAATGGTTATGTAACAGAATCGTATCATTTCTCCGAAATCTATACTGAATAATATTATTTAAATATCGAATGCAGTTTGTAATGAAGTATAAATAAACCCAAGATTTATTTATTTTGATAATACAATCTTGTATAGTAATTAACATTTTTTTTAGGTTAAATTAAATAAAGGTTGTACGCATTACAGTGTTGAATTTTACTGTTTGACTAGTGGTTTGAAATGAACTTTTGGATTCAATTTTACATATAAAATAATTAATTATATATAAGTAATAATCTAACTTTGACAAATATGCTAATTGAATTAGTTATATGCTATAAGCTAATTCAATCATTAATAAACCTCGCAATCCACCAAATGTCTAAAAAAATGTTTTTTTTTTTCTAAATAATAAAAATATAAGAATATAATGAAATATAAATATCATTATTTTATTTTATTTTTTCGAAAAAATATCATTATTTTATTAATAAAATAAGTGTGTGGGGGGCTTGATCAATCCACGAAACATTTCAAGTGCAACTGCAATTGCCATAGCCAAACACTTGTCACGCATGCAGAGATTAAAAAAAAAAAAAATTGCCATCTCCATTGATATTTTATTTATTTATTTTTTTTTCTTTCACACACCTAATTACTGCTCATCATTTATAGTACAGTGGTGTAGATGAACCGTGCACGACACATTATTTAGGAAGGTATATTGTAAATAAGTGAGTGGATAATGGATATCATAGGAAGATGCTACAATCCCGTTACGGAACCATTTCGTCGGGGTTCGTAATCGTCATATCAACTATCTCTGACGGTTACATGATGATCTAACGGTTATAAACTCCGACAGAATGACTCCGGGACCTTAACACTTCCATATGATATATTTTAGAGTACGCCAATTGTATCTGAGCCGATGCATATTAGAAAAAAAGATAAAATAAATTATTTATTTAACACAGCCTACAGAAATATGTATGATATATGAGAAATCAATGGCTTTTCTATAGAATCAGAAAATAATATTTTAATAGAGTCGACCACATTATTATTTATTAAATAAATTAGGACACAAGCTCAAGAGTGAAGACCGTAGCTTCCAATTAGGACACATTCCGCAATATTCCAAGCAAACTTTAAATGTGATGCCATTTTCAAGCACTGAAAATATGACCAAGTAAACTTGTTCTTACTGTACAAGATGCCTTGTAGACTTATCGTACGCCTTTTTCAAGTGATCCTTTGTATTTTAATTTCTTATTGACAATTTGAGGACTAAAGCATGTAAACCTAGAAAAAGTAATCCGTTCCTACGAATAATGAACTCTTTTCACTGTCAAATTGACAAAACTTTACAACTATAGGTGCAACCGAGTCAAGTCGAGCTCGAGATCCTGATACTCGAGCTCAATCTCAAGCCTTTATCAAGTCGTGCTAGTTAAAATGAGCCAATAACGAGTTCAAGATCAACTCTTTTATCAATATTAACATTAATTACACTTTTTTTTTTTTTTTTTTT